AAAACGGTTCTGAGATTTTTTATTGAGCAATAATAGCTGCACAAAAACGGTGGGAAACCAGCATAATGTTCGCGAAAATTAAGTTTGTACTTTCGTTTGTTTGCTTTGTTTTGTGTTTGGCTTTGTATGTGAATGAAAAAATAGCACTTTGTTTTTCGTATTTTTTTCTTTGAATTTTGTATTAACTTTTAATGTTTAATAGAACATATATCGAACACTGTAGGATCAATAAAGGAGATATATTTACAGAAGTGACAATATTGTGATTATTATTTGTTCAACAGAAAGCCGGAAAGAAAATGGCGCCAAGCATCTTCCTATACATAGTGTATTCTTTCTTTTATTCAAACAAGACATATTTAGTAAGATTTGCATTGATTTCAATAAATTTCTGTACTTCAAATATTTTACTGAAGGATGAGCAAAGTTTATCTTTAAAAAGGTGTTTTCGTTTTATTGTTATGATGATATTATACACGTATTTACTATTGACAATATTCATTTTCTCTAATACATATGTAGAGGAATGTTTGAACGTTGACACTGTGTTGTTTATTAAACACAAAAAATATGTTAAACCTTTATGACATGTTTATTTTTCAGTACTCTTGATTTTGTAAAATACATGAATTGATGTTGTTGTTTTTGTTTCATTTCTTTCCTTAGGCTTTAAGCTAAGCTAATACTGGTTATGTGTCGACTTACCAGCTTTACAGAAAATTCTTAGTTTACCCTCCTTCCAATAATAACGGACGATAGGACACCAAAGAAGAAATATTTAATTTATGATAAAATTTATAATTAGATAACTTTCTCAAAAGAACAAATCACAGTTCCTACTAGGTGTTTAACCTGCAGCAGTTAGGGCCAAGTGAATGTATCGATTATAACCACTCGGCCAAAGAAAATCTACATTTGTTATTGGCATTGAAACTGTTGAAAATAAAAACAAATGTCACTTATGATGCTGCACATTAAACGAGCTAACCATTTGCGTATTAATTAAACTTGACACTATAATATTCGGTAAGCACGACAAAAGATAATATTTCAAAAACATGCATTTAAACAATCAGTTAGGTCTTTGTAAACTTTATTTCAAATTCTACAGGCAACTAATTCTGTGAATAATGTCTACCAATAAACGAATTGATGTTACATTTACATTTTCAGAGCGCTTGTAAACATTTTGTGTATGTGAATTAAGTTGTTACTTTAATCAAAATTGAAACTTTTACAGGTCGGTGTTGTTTACATGAAGTTGTAATGATATGACATGAATCACGTATAATGCTTTGATTGTCATTTTAAAATTATTTATAACAAACTACTATTAACTACTACGTATTCGTGGATGATCAGTATTGTATGGCTATACCATGTGATTTTTAGTGTTTTGCGTGGATTAGAAAACCAAGACATAAGACGTAAGACATAAGACATATTTATTTTTTACTTTAATTTTGAAATATTTCAAAATATTTTTTAATAAAGTGGACAGCCTGCTCACTCTAGCAAGAACCAATTTATAAAATGGTACCTTGGAAAAAAATGTTCAACACTTTATAGTTTTTGTCAATTAGGAAAATCTTGAAAAGTTACAGAATTAAACCATGTGAACCGTCTGTTGTATTAAATTTTTGCCCCACGCAAAACATAAACAAATCAAGTGATATAGTTCCGTGGTTAAGGATAAACTGTGTTTAGCATTTTCCAGGAGTAGTTGCTTTGAGATAACGCTAATAGCTTTCGTATGAAACTTGTTTACCCCGACACAAGATGAGTAAAACGCCTGTCTGTAAAACAAATTTAAATATATTACATGCATGAATATTCATTACAAATGGTAATGTCATACTTAGTAATATTCAGGACAGATGATAATGTCATACTTGGTAATATTCATAGCATATGGTAATGCCATACTTAGTAATATTCAGGACAAATGATAATGTCATACCTAGAGATATTCATAACAGACTATTATGCCATACTAAGTAATATTCATAACAAATGACTATATCATACTTATAATTTTAATATATGAGAATGTTTTATGATAATGCATTTGAACAAATGTCAGAAGTAGATCTAGATAATAAAATTAATAACAGATAAGATGCTGCACATAAAGCCCTTACAAATAAGGTAAAATACGAATATTCATGAAAGCTGATAAAGCATATACACTGTTGTAACAGCGTTCACCGGTAATAGCCCCTCAATACACGGAAAAAAGTAAAAAGTAAATCAGTGTACGTCTAGTTAACTCGAGGTAAGTTTCAATTCATTTTTCCATCAGAACTTAATCGATTTTTCCAAACTTAACACTTTTGTGAAGCTGACAATGTCTGCTTTAAGAGCAGGTGTGTCTGGCTTTTGCTGCAGTAGGAAATACGAATGTTCATAACAGATGAAATGATTAACACATAGTCCATGCAAATACGGCGAAATACGATGGTTCATAACAGATGAAAGGAAAAAAAATTGACACATAGTTCATATAAATACGGGGCAATGTGAATACCATAACAGATGATATGATATACACATAGTCCATACAAATAAAAAGTTTAATAAGAATGTCATAACAGACAGATGAAATGATTTACTCATAGTCCATACTAAGAAGGGGAAATTAGTAAACAAAGAAAATTGTTGACTCACAGTCCATACAAATACTTTAATTTATGAAAAATAAATGTTTTGTCAACAATTTCTTTTCTCGGCCCCCTGGGTATTCGTGATCTCATCTTTTTGCTCTGTCCCGTTTGTAAAAAATAGTTTAGCTGAAAGTTTTATTTTGTTACTTTAACGTCCGGGTGAATTGAACAAATAATTCATATTGGAGTTTGATAGGCAATGAATAAGCCCACACTTCGGGAAACATGTTTAAGCTGGAACTGGCCTTCCAATTATAGACTCAATAAGTGTCTTCTGTATTAAATAAATTGAATGGTCACGTAGAATATTTCATAGGCAGAGGTTGGATGTACACAAACGGTATAGAATAAATAAAATTATTTTCTTAATTGACTTGACTAGATAACCTATTTCATATTTAATATGAAATAAAGACTTGGGAAACAGTATCACATTTAAGGTAATGTTCTATAAAACATTTATAGTTCTATAATTCTTTTATGAAAGGGGAATTAAATTCCAAATGTATACATTAAAAAGTATTATGCCGTTACTACCATTTAGTCTGGGCGTTGGACTAGACAAATTATAGAGAAGTTAGGCGATTTGGTTGAAAGTAAGTTAAAATAATCTTGTTAATGTTAATCGCAACTCCTGTATGTCAACACACTACCTACCGTCGAATAATATAGCGGTGAGATGACTTTTCCATAGTTTAACTGTTAAGCACTGCATATTTTTGCCAAATCTTTGATTTTATAGAACGTTCTACATTGGCAAAAAATCATTTTGCAAAAAGAAGTTACTGCCCTTTATAATATGATTTAAATGTGGCTGCAATCTCATTTGTACAAACAGTAGTCAACAGAACTTTTATAAATCATATTCACTGGGTGCAGTATCATATTCACTGACTGAACTTAATTTTCCTAGTCTAAAAAGATTGAGACTCATATTCAATGCCCATACACCTTAGACTGTTGATTACGCATGCGCATTAAAAATAACTGTAGGGTTTTACAGTTTGACAATTTATTGGGCAAGTATGTTTCCTTGCTGTCAAATCAAGACTGTGTTTTAGGATCATTTATTTAGGCTTTGATCCTGGGTACTAAATACACTGCCTTTGTTTCTCTTGAAAACTTTCAGGACATTTTGTCGTTTTATTTTTTTCCTTCCTAATGATATTAATGCATTCATTATTCATGATATTCATGACAAGATGTACAACTCTTAAACATCAATATTAAAATAGTAGGAGTTGTTTCCCCTAAGCAGAAAAAATAAGTAATAATATGTTATATTTGGATATTGCCTTTATGTTCAAGCAGTTCTATAGGATTGTTATGTAATAATTCTAAAAAGAAATCTTTTTTAATGATATATTTACAATAGGTCTGGCATTAATAACGTATTTCAATCTACAAGAGAGCGATGGCCTAGTTTGTGGAGCGGTAGCCTAGTGGTTAAGGTGTCTGCCTCCATACCCAGGGATTATGGGTTCGAGCTCTAAGCGGGTCTTGACATTGTTTCTACACATGACACTAGAACTGGTTGGTTCCAGGAAGTCTCGAAAATAATAAATATAAATTGCAATAACTTGTTTCATAACTATGTTAAAACCTGTAAAAATAGTTACAATATTAGCAAGATGCTAATGAATTACTTTTCTTTATAATCTTTGTAGAATCCTAAAAATGTTTTGTTCCCCTTTAAATGTATATCTCAATATATTGTATGTTTATGCATAATTATTTTTATTGTTAAAAAATCTGAAAATAAACCAAAATTAGGTAAATATAAAAACAAACTAGATTATGCGATTGTCCTGTTTTCATCTTAGAAAAATTTTATTTACCCTTTTAAGTTTTCCGTTAAAAGAATACTTCCTAATTCATGTTTCATGGGCCTATATATATTTTCTTTCATATGCAGGTGTCTGTAACAAGACATAATTTTGTATTGTATAGTTTTTACACATAAATTTCAAGGAAATCTGTTTAAATATTGTCACTTAACTATACTTGTAGACATATTTCCCCTCTATATAAATTTATAAATTTGAATACATTAGTTAAAATTTATAATGCAACAACACAACAACAGAAACAGTCCTTTTATTTTAGCTTAATTGCGGATTTAATGAGCAATAAATCAAACAAATAATCATAAAACAAACATAGGTCGAATATGTAAAAGAAAGAGCATTGAAATACGAGGCTATCTGATTTGTAAGAAATGCCGTGTACTCCGAGTATCACTCAGGTTGCCAAGTATTTTAATTTTCTTTCCTGTCTGTATCATATGCAAAAAAAGAACTTTTTTGTCATCACACTATGATACGCCAGACTAAATAAACCAATGTACGAGCATCTAAATATTATTTCCCTATCATCATCACGTCAAAAAAAGCTATCCCGCACAAAAGTCGTTGAGTTAAAAGTCTAGATTTGTTGATGTGTTATATCACGATTTTAATCAGCGAATAAAGAATATAAAGCAGACAGTGTTAGATTTAATATAAATGACTGCAAACTTCCCAACCCGCTATCACCCTATCATCGTCAGGCATCAGTCAGGAAGACATTTATTAACGAACTTCCAAATTGATTACTAAACAATGACCTAAACTCTACATTAATGAAGGAGGTTTTAAAAACCATAGACTCGAAATTACAAAGATAGTATGTGCCGAGACATATAATCGTGGTGAATACAAAAAAGTCAAGCGATTTATATATCTGGCAAAAAAATTATAATAAAGCTAATTCAAAGCCTATACAATACTAACACTTGGCATAAAAGTTGAGAAAACGGAATCCCAAAAGAACGATCAAAACGATAAAACTGAAAATGTTGCAGGCCCTGTTCATGGACGGCACTGTAAAGTGCATGTTACCGTCCTCACCCTATAGCAACGGATTCATTTAAACATGGAAAATGGTGATTTTTTAAAATTTAGAAACAAATAGACAGTACGGACGCGGAATGTGTCTGTGGATTGTTCTGCTGTTGATCTTCTATTTCTTTTTTTTAAATTGTCAAGTTATCTGATAACATCAAGTATAAAAATTGTATATTATAGAATTATTGACTTAATTGTTATGAACAGGAAGCGTGTTTTTATTTATGAGTCATGGGTTCTTTTAACGATGAATTTACTAACGAAATCAAAACATACATATATAGCAAAATGCTAAGTACAAATGCTTGTTATTTTCTCTTGAAAAATATTTATTTGCTTTAATTTCTCAATTTTCTTTGTTTCGGTCAAATTTTCATTCATGATATTTAGCTGACATTTTTTAATCTCAATAAAAAAACTCCTTGCTAAGTAGCATTATAAGATATAAATGAGATAATTAGGAAACAGATAATGAAAACCAGGACAATTTCTTACTCTTAATTCAAACTTCAACCATTTTCATGTTTTCATAGAAAACAACAAAAGAATAGGATATTCCTTTTTACGATGAATAAAAGTATATGTATTTGACGTTGTTTTAAGTGCCCGTTTTTGTGTTACAAACTATGTGTATTCTACAGATACACGGTTTTATGTTGAGTCATGTGATTAATATATGTTCAGGTTTACCATATAAACAAATAAGTGGTTTTTATACAATCAACGTACTTGTCTAATCAAAAGCGATCCAGCAAATGTATTCCATCTGCGTGAGTCGACGTAATACACAGAGGTATCTAAACTCTGTACCCACACCCGCTCCGCCTTGTTGACCATGGCAATGGTGCTAACAGAGCTACAAGTATAAACGCCGCCATTATCATACTGTGTACTGGTGGTTATGAGTGTGCCTTCTTGGTATATTGCGTACTGAACAACCTTGTTTCCTTGATTACAAACATGGGCTGTGAAGAAATAGAGTCCAGTGAGCGGTGCAGTGAATACTCCAGTAACACTATCGTACCCTTCGCCTTGGTTTGTTATCACGGTATCGTAGACGACCTTGTTCCCTGTGTTCACAGTTTTTGTGGAAGATAAACGAGCGTTGAATCCGACGATAGGCAACAGCGACTTGTCTGCAAAAGAAAAGCAAGACCCAGTGTTGAAAATTATGAATATTCAGTAAGAGACTAACACATAATTACTTGTATAAACTGATGAACTCATAAATATCCAATTTACTATTATTAGTGATGCAGATCATTTTAGTGTGATTAAAAACGAAGAAGTGACGACAAGAAAAATGTCTTTCTAAAAAAAAGAATTCCAATGCTTTCTTAAATTAGTTTATTTTGTCACAATCGGTATGTCATCTGAAATGGATACCTCAGTTGAATTCGTATATATATAAAGTATATACATAAAATATGATAAACAAGATCAACAAGAAAAGGCGGCGTCCAATGAACGCAACCCCCACACGATCCAGCAACAAGAGCCAGTGACAAACAGCCCAGGGTGACCCCAAACAAGCAGAGCATGGGCAGGTTAATCACTAAAATCATACATAAGAAGAAACAGTCAGTACCTGATAAGGAACTAAAAGAAAACAAATAAATGATTGAATTATAGGCCCATAAAATGAGAGGGCACAAGGGAAGGGGAATGAAGACCCGAGGAAGGAGGGGGGATAAATAAAGGAAATAAAAACCAGGGACAAAGGGGAAGATACTTACCGTCAAACATTAATCACAGCATAAAATCAACTTTTAGTTAAAACTAAAACTATTAAAACTATCTATACCTGCTAAAGTTTTAAGCTTAGCTGTTTCTTCTTTGAAGTTATCAGAAAGCTCAATCATTGTTTGGTTGACATCATGCTGAAACTGAATGGCGTTATTCTCCACATTGCCAACTCTTTGTGACACATCGGTCGCTATGGTCATAACGTCCTTTTCTTTATTATTAACTTCCTCGATTATCTTCTCCATTTTCATCTCCATTCTTATCATTTTTTCTAAAAGTTTTTCCTCATAGTCAAATTTTGAACAAATTGGTTCATCATTTTCTCTGCTTTCATGGGGATGCCCAGATGTTATCAAAATATTTTTCACAAATATAAGAAGAACAAATAACATTTTAAAGCCTTTTTGTTTTAAAAATCTGTCTTTTTATCAATTCAAAAACGTTTCTCCTTTCAAAAGGTGATATACTTGATAAGCTAAAATAAATCCCCAAAAATTGAAGTAAATCTTCCTCAATCGAAGAGATGATTGAAAATAAACACTTAATGCTAACGACTTTATTTGTGTAGTTCGGACTTAAGGTTGTTCGTCATATCTTTTCTAGAGGAAAATCTGGGACTAGGTAAATTATTTTTTAAACATTTTGATTTTATTATGATATTATTGAAAATCTGTGAAATAAGGTTTGAGGGCTTGAGGCATCGGCATGCAGCCACCATTTAACCCTGTGTGATCGTAAGGGGCGACTTAACTGGTTCGAATAACTGTCAACGCATCTCTTAGCTCCAGTAGGTGAGGCGATTTTTACCCCTGGTGTTGCTTTCCAGATTGTAACACCCAAGGTTAGCCAAAGTCATCTTACCTTTTTCGGCACCATGTGACCTTTACCGTGTTAAAACATTATTGACTGTCAAAAGCATAAGCGTAGAATACGCTCTATTTCATTATTGCTTCGTTCTTCAAATCTGCATTTTTCAGAAACCTGTCATATGATATTTTTTTAAAACAAAATAGCCGAGATTTGACCAAAATGTATTAAAATCGGCATGAAGACAGACAAAATAAGTATTTGAAAGGAAGGAAAATGCATATATTTGTGTAATTTGATACTCTATTTATTGTACAAGTTAAATAAAATCATATTATGCTAGCCTTTGTTATATTAAACGAGTTTTATAAATTTAGTATTGCATCTTATATCTATAATAAGATCGGTTTACAGTTACAAAGAGTCAATTGCGTATGGGCCAACATTAGCCCATTTTAACGCAATTTTTGTATATAACGCAAATGGCTTCACTTCAAGTATTATTACACTAGTGTAATATCGTTTCTATTACATGGATTTATAGCACTTCTGTGTCTTGGCTTATGTGCACAAATATTGTATATAATTGTGAAGCAGAACCTTAATATTACTTGACGCCAAAATGCTCTAATTGAAAACAGTTGTCGGCAAAGTTTATATCATATTAAAGGCACATTATGCCTAAGAGAATCTATATGTTTTAATTCTTTAAGAGCATGTTAGATGTTTAACAACTAAAGAGTAAAGATGAAGGTGCAGTATTGTGTCGTAAAGTAGCAAAATGTAAACAAAGTAGTATATTGACTTCCATACAAAAACACATTAACTATAATTATATCAATTGCCAATATAACAAAATCAGCAAAAGATAATTAAATTTATGTATATGACAAATGTGTATGTTTTTAAAACTATAACAAGATACCAAAAATAACAAAATAAAAAGTTTTTGAGTACCGCTCAGTCGGTGCTAGGTATGGTCGGAACCCACCGTTACTGATTTCGCTAAACTACATTCAATGTAACGAGTACGTATGGGTTACAGAAGATGATGCTAGAGGGCTTGAAAGATGTTTCTCGTTTTCATTACCTCACATGTACAGATCTGTTGTCATTAATGCTTCGGTGGGATCACACTTTCTTCAGATTTTGAGCAATAACAATTATAGCACTTCTGAGGCATAATGAGCCTTTAAACCTTTGAAGTAACTTGTTTATCGCTTGCAACCTGCCTCTTTTATTTACACAAGCTATATAGACTGTCATTTTCTATTATTGTGCCTGGACGAAGTACCATAATTTCTTAGTTATACTTCATTAGCTATGACATGAATATATCAAAAACATAAAAAGTACATATTGTTTTGATTTGTGCCGTTTTCTTTACATCTTAGCTAGAGACTTTTGTTTTATCTGCTTTGTTTATGCCAAGATTCAATTGTTTTATTGAATGAAGCTTTGACACACAAAACCGTTAAACATTTAAAGACGATAGCTGATATTACCCACTAATATAAATAAGGAAAGTGGTACAGTATTGTTTGCTGTAATTTTTAATTTTCTTTTCTTTCATTACCTTGGTTTCTATGGGTTTTTTGTCGTAGGTTTGATTTGATTTGACCTGTTCATGGACAGTCGATTCAAATTCAAGTTAACGCCCACGCCCCCTATCACTGGCTTTTACATAAAAATGGCATAATGTTAAATTTAGAAACAGCCGCAGATTAGTTCATACCGTGGCTATCATAAAATCTTCATTATGACACATACGCACCAGTCCATTATCATTAAAAGCGGTGTATAGCCCCCAATTAAATTTTGTTTAGATTTTTATGCTTGACAAAATCTAAGTCTTTAATGATTTTTAATGAATGGACTAGATGAAAAAATCTGAAATGCTCAGACTAATGTAATTTTTATGAGTATTTTATTTCCATCGAAGATTTGATTTCGTGAGGGCTTGAAGGATGTTGGGCTTTCTTTTTATACGCATGTACAGACTCAATTAAAGCGAGTCTGCATAATGATTCAATGGATCATCCATTCTTCAGATCTTTATATAATAAAAGCTATCGAAGTGTATCTAATTATAGTGACAAAGATGCAAAGATAAGCCTGTGATTTTCAGACTGAAGAGTTTAAGGTAAGATTTTTAGGTTTGTGTTTGGACTCTTAAAGCAGTATCATTTAAGTAATAAGCCTTTCCGTACTTTGTCTTGAGCCCTGTGGGTCCTCCAAGGCTCCTTGTCACTAGTTCTTGTTGATGGGTCGGGTTGGGGTTGCGTTCATTAGACGCCGCCTTCCTTGTTGATCTTGTTCGATATCTAAACCTTGTACGTTGAAAACAAGGATAAAATTATAATAGCAAAATTACAGCCAAATAAACGATTTTGATATCATGTAAACATTCACAGTACATCATACATCATATTTTCATAAACTTACAATTTTAAGGCGTTTCAAATAGACATTAACATGATGTAAAAATACTCATTAAAATATACAGTTGTAGCCTTTACCGTGACTTGTCAAGGGAGAAAACTACGATGACTAATAAACATTTTATCATGACACGATTATCTCCCTTCTAATAAAAACATAAAAGAAAAAAAAAGATTTTAGTTCAGGACTTCGAGTGGAGTGGATTTTACTATAGGATCCCACAAATCGCCGTAACAGCGTGTGCGATCTGGTTAAACCATGGCCCTCAGGCCACTTCTATACAGTCATGTAAATCTTTCATTATTTAAAGGCACATTAGGCCTCAGAAACAAGTAAATGTCCACTTCGTTCAAATGGGCAAACTTGAGGTCTATGAAGGTTATGCTATTGTTTTAAAGCGAGTTAGAAGTCGTTTTCTTCAGATCACTGGCCCCTCACCGCTGTTGCTTCGAATCTTCTAAGACTGTGGATTCTTGCATGTGAGGAATCTATCCACTAAGCTTACGGAATGTGCAAAGCTCTAATCAGGTACCAGTTCGTGCCTGAAATAATGAACGCAGGGTTATCTGATGTCTTCCTTCATCAGTAAAGCTGGGAAATCCTCATATGTCCTATAGTGTGTTGATACGACTTAAGACAAATTAAATTTATGTTACAATAAATGGTGTAACGATTTTCAAGAACTGTTTTCTTTTATTAATTTATTACCAGTAAAAAATTACAATAAAAATAATTTTGTGTATAAACTGTTGCTTGATATTTCGTTATCTTACATTATTATATAATTCGCATTCATTTAATAGATCATATGTTTCCCCATTTTTTTAGATAATGCAGGATACGTGTATAAATTTATCTTTTGCTGAAAGAAATGTTACTCGATTTACTATTTGACACAAGCATAAATGTTTAAAATAATTGTTTAGGTCTATGATCGAGTAAATTATATTTGTGTGGGTCAGAATGTAAAAAATATGGTACTTTTATATGACTTCAGGTGGTCCTTTTATTTTATTTTTACCCCGAATGGAAATGGTCCTCCTGGTGATACATCTGAGTAATAAATGCAAATTTTAACATCGCAAATAATAGTTCTTTAGTTATCCTTGTTTATTGAGAAAAAGTATATTCTCGCAACATAGTATAAATATTATATTTGTAAACTATAGAACGATTTTCCACAGTGAACTTTCGTTGATTATCAATTTGAAACAATTTAATGGTACATTAAAGTTGACGCAAATTTAAAGAACAAAAATCAGTGTATAAACCGACGGTAACTTTCAATATTTGTATGTGTCAAGATGCTAAATATTTCCTTGTGCAGGTCATATTGTGCAGATCGTTAGGTAATCATCATCATGTTTTTGTCTACCTAGGACAATGGAGTCTACGCCCACTAATATGAATAGCGTCATTGTACGACTACGACTTAGCGTACATGTTCGGCTTCACCCGCGACAACTTTGATGTCGATTTCTCTTAATATACATGTAATGATTACCAGTACAGCTATGGTGACGATATTTAAACGGATACGACGGCAACAGCTACAACATCGACCTCATGGAATACGTCGACGACTGCGGCCATGCAATCTACGAATGAAAAGACCACCACTAGTACGGTTTAAGTACGGTTGCAAGGACGTGTATATCGTCTTACCCAAATACGACTTATACAACAACGAGTACAGCTAAGACTACAACCGTTAATAATTTGAAAAATAATACGGTCACGACTATGATAACTACGACTTTCGTGCCTATAAATTCGCCTACCGCAAAGACTTTAGCCAGATACTTTGATGGTACTGTGACTTAAATGTTTTGCTGGTTTCAAGCACTTAGATTTTTAAGTAATAAACTGTTTTGAACAAAATATTGCATCTAAATATGTGTTGCTTGATTTCATTGCATAGTATTTAGAATCCAGATGAAGTATAACCTTCTCCTGAAAAGCGTTTTGAGCATTACTTTCCTCTGTAGCATACAGGTCTTCATTTTTATCCACGCCGTAAAATATTATCTCTTTCGCAGATATCATTGGTGTTTCTTGATTATCTGCTACACTTTGTTTTAGACAAAACCTCAACAAAACTGTAATTATCTTGGCACACGTTTCTGAAGAGGTAAATAAAAACATTAAGTTTTCATGCAAGGAATGTGTACTATGTCAAAAACAACCTAACAAACAAATGACAAGTAATGAAAGCATCAAAAGAATGAAGTTTAATTGAGAAATATTGGAACAGTGTACTGGTAAAGTGATTTAAAGGACTGCCAATATTATTTTTTTGTGCTAGAGAAACATACCAACCCAAAATAAGAGCACTCTTATGCAAGTAAGTTATGAAACAAAGTCTGTTTCAATTACATCCTAAACATTACACAATGTCAATGAAATTTAAGGTGCTTCAGCACATTGTTTATTAAATTTTTTTTTCTTGTATAGTTATTTTCAGCATATCTTACTAAAACACATGTTTAAATAAAGAATATGAATACGACAGAACTGTAATTAAACGCAGCTGTCACAAATGTGTGTGCTTTTAGTTATGCAAATAAAAATCTTCAAATATTATTGGTGTATTAGTTTACATTTAGAACATAAACTTCGGGACAGGAGTGTAATCGATAGAGGATATTCAAAGTTTTACTATCTGAACATAACATTCAATTTATGGAATGAAATTATATTATGAAATTATATCGTGAGAGCCTCTGGCGAGCAAAATATTACATAAATGTATTTTGTTCAACGATTTCAATAAATTAAGTTACTGTAATGTACACACAAACAAAAATGTATCTATCATACCCAAAATAAAGAGTGTTCAAATGTTCAAAGTGCAAAAGAGTCATATTTTATTGACGCGTCTATAGTGTAACGTTAACATTTTGCGCGTCTTAACGCTATGTTTGTATAACGCAAATGACATCATGTCATAATATATGCACGACCGTGCAATATCATTTTTACGGAGTCGCAAAATCGACACGGGTATATGATAAAGCAATTTATTTAAAACGATATAATTCTAGAGTAACAGTAAAAATACTTTTTACGTCACTCATTTGCGTCAAATACACATATATATATTTAGCGTGCAAGCGCTAATATTAGCATTACACTATGGCCTAATATAGTGAAAAAAATGACTCTTTTTGATTGTAAACCATTGTTATTTTAAAAACGTCATAACGGCAGTCTTATATCAGTGCAAATTCAAATTAAATAATAAATGAAACAATATTATTTTACATGTTCTTTATATCAAGATTTAAATTAACAGGCATTCAATATTCTCTATGTATCATACAATCAAAATGATAATCGGATACTCATTTCTAATGTTCCATAAATCTTGACATGATTAGATAATTTAAAAATAATTCTGGGATCTAATGGTCAATTTTTGAACTCACAATCAACAGACTTTCCTGGAAACTAAATCACGCCCGGCTTTAACATTTCTAGATGTAATTGTATTTGAAGATAAGACAAATGGTTATTTTTTCCAATTGTTTTTTTTTTTTTTTTTTTTTTTTTTTTTTTTGTTTTTTTTTTGTTAATAGATCATAATACCAGGTAAAACAAAATAAATATCAAACCTTTACAACGCCTTAATGGCTTCAAACTTTGCCTTACATATTCATGGTTAACACTATGTACTATCACCTTGAAATGGATCAGATTTCTTTCTTAAGTGCGACATTGACTATAACAAATTCCTTTTTTATTTCCATAAAACTACCGTCATAAGAACCAAAGTCAAAGTTGAAAATGATGCATTTTAAATTGTTCGATAAAATTTTGTGTTAGCTTGCAAACCTCGTTTTTGATTTTCTGGAAAAGGATTGCGTTTACACCAACCATGATGAGCTACCTTAACTCTGAGAAATATTAGTAGAGCTGTTACCTTTGCTTCTCATTTGCGGGACGAGCGTCTTTTCAGTCAAGTTTAATAACATAAAGACTTAAATATGTTAACACCAATTCTAATTGTTGTGTGTATAATTTCGGTAACTTCTGGACATCCCCATGAAAGAAGACAAATCGATGAACCGATATGTTCAAAATTTGACTATGAAGAAAAACTTTTGGAAAAAATGATAAGAATGGAAATGAAAATGGAAAAAATAATAGAGGAAGTTAAAGATAAAGAAAAGGATTATATGTCCGTCGCGACCAATTTGTCCCAAAGAGTTGGAAATATAGAAAATGACGCAATTCAGTACCAACGTGGAATCAACCGCAAAATGGTCGAGTTTGCTGATAACTTTAGCCAGAGCAAGCTGTCAGATTTAGCAGGTACGGATTTTAAATTGTTTATGCAATCCGTTTCTTTTATTGATACCTTGCCAAAGAATGATCAATTATTTAGAGCATTGAAAGATGATATAATTATTTGTACTTTATTTCATTAAAATTTGTTGCAATTGTACAAAGGTCTACCTCTAGTCAATAGAATAAACAATGAAACATAAAACTGTAAATATATATCAATAACAATATTTCTGACTTCCGTACAATCCACATTGTTTAAAATATAGTCAGAACACTCTACAAAAATGGATTGGCAACAAATTTAATATGTGATTGAAATAATGTCGGATAATTTCTTTTTCCCGAGACTTTAATACATACCCGACCACATATGACGTTTTCGTCTTTCCAAAATTTAAATATTACCATTCAAAAAATCTCATTGGGCCTACAATAAAGTTTCTCTATAATTGCACACTATGGTATGTACTTTAAAAATTAATTGACTGACTGAAAAGATGAAGTGGGGCTGATGGTAAATATTTTAAAGGACAGAACGTGTTGTTTTCTTTTAAATATACAGCAAATGACATTGTTTTGGAACATCCCTCGTAAATATCAAATCATAAAAAACGTATTCCAATCTCAATGTACGTAATGATAACAATTTAGCTTCAATTGTTATAATACATTTATTTGTATTTTAAATTTTCTTGAAATTTTGATAACCTGATAGAAATCTAATAGCGAAAATCCCTAATGAATGTCAGAACGACAAAATTTACATTGTTGTAGGATCGGTCCAATTCATCCTGATCATGGATGGCACTCAAAAACTTAAAACACACACCTAGCATCGGTTTAGACAGAATGCATCCAATATGAAATAGTACAATTCTGAATTTAGAAACATCCGCAAATATTCGCGTGATCTTAAAGTATATAAGATACATGTACATATATGTAAAATAATTATACTATTTTGTATGTATTATAAATTTCTTTTATTTGTAGCAATCACAAAAAGAAATATTGCATTTTTTTTTCTTTTTGAATAGTGCTGTTAGTTTGACAAGAGCTTATATTTATTTCCGTATTTGGTACATGTATATCAAACGTTTTATTTGATAGGTTTATTTCTTAAATCGTTATATATATCGTCGAAGTATATGGTGATGTAATTTCATACAAAAGTCATTTTGCTACAAACAAATAACTTACGAACGGTATTGACATTTTTTATTTTGTTTCTACGAGAAAAGTCCCTTTTACCAATTATTGGATTCACCGCCCGTCTATATACCGTCATGAAGATTACGACAGTTCTAACGAGATATTCACTGCACCGCACACTGGACTTTATTTCTTCTCAGCCCATGTTTGTAACCAGGGAAATAAGGCTTTTTATTACGCAACATATCAAGAAAGTAGAATGTTAACAAGCAGGACGCAGCGAGATTTTAACAGTGTTCAGTGAGCACTATCGCCATGGTAAACAAAGCAGAGTGTTGGTAAAATGCACATCCACCTCAGTGTTTTATACTGATGGTAACAGATGGAATGCATTTTCTAGGTCTCTCTTAAACAAAAAACTACATGTATAAATTGTATATATTAGCAAAACTAGGACAAACAAGTTTCGTCCAGAAACGGCTCATCACAGTATATGCATGTATATATTTAAGGAAGTAGACTTACAGTGTTTTCTTTATAAATCCTTGAATGTAGACGTGAGTCACGTGACTCACACAGAATCTTGTGTTTAAGAATCATTTAGAAGACGGTTTTTTGAGTTTCTTTATGAAATGGGTTCATTTACTGAACCAGATATTATTTTATCCAAAGAAATAAATAGTTTGAAGAGATCGGAAAACAGCTTATTATTATCCGGGTCGATTTTATGTCGATTTTGTGTAGCTTATTGTGAAGTTGCAGTACATGAAAATCGGGCACATGACAAATCAGCACATAAATAAAACACTATAGTATTCCGTGGTATACATCTTTTCTACGTGTCATACCTCCTTTCCTTATTACAATGAAATTTTACTGGATTGTTATCCACCGCAGGTTTGTTTTTAGCAGAGAATGACCTATGCATGTTCAAAGAGGGTACCGTTTGAGCAGATTTCGCAAAGAGGGTACCGATATGGATATGCACCGTGTACATTAAAAGTTGTTCATACATTACTACATTACTACCATTTCGTCGGAGCGTTGGAATACGTAATGTTTAATAAGTTAAGCGATATGGGTTATTATATAACACAAAAACTGTAAGATAAGATTTACCGGGACCACAATGACAGAGTTCTCTTCCTTGTTAATGAGAATAATCTCGTTACAATTAATCTCAACAACTGTATGCCAGCATAATATCCACGCACTGAGATGATATGTCTAGCCTTTTGATTTACTGTTGAGTATTGCACATATTTTTGCCTCTTAGCTTGTTCTATTTTAAAGAACGTATAACATTAGAATTTATATTGAAATCATCATCGTATTTATGCGGACAAATAATTGCCTCGCGTTACATTTATCTATTATTATACATGAATAAGGTCTTACAACTGACAATAATTTAAAAATGAAACCATAAACATATGAAAAAGATGATTGTTAACAACGTAACCATCAAGCGAAAGTTCTTAACATTATTACAATTATTAATAATAAAATTAGAATTACAATAAGGGTTTGAAGTCCTCTGAGTATGTGTGAAGTTGGCGGCCTATCGGTCCAGCGGTCTGGCGGCGTGAAGATGACGACCTAGCGGTGTGAAGTTGGTGGCATAGCGGCCCAGCGGCAAACGGCGTGAAATTGGCGGCCTAAACGGCATTAAATGAAGTTCTAAAGACAAGTTTTGTTATTTGAAGGATATATTGAAAGAAAATATCCCTTTGAGAAAACTTTTGTATTTTTTTTCGTGAGCTTTGCGGCCTGGTGCGGCCAAGCGGCATGCCTGCCAAACATTGAAATGTTGTAGAAACGTTAATTAAACATATATGAAATCTTAAAAAAAAGATATTTTGGCTCATTTAGAGGATGCTGTGATGATTTTTTATAGGTATCCTTTAGTTTCTGTTGTGTGAGAGCAATAATTGTGTATTTTATAAATCCTGGTTCAAAATCATCACACTGGAATATAATCCTTTTTTTACACTATCTTTTATAATCATTTTAATAAGTACAACAATCCATTTGTCTTGTTTCACTTTTATTTTTAATCCTCTTTTACCTTTAACAATTTTACACTTTACAATAATCAACTTTCAACACACTTTTAAGAATACTTTTTTATAATACTTTTCAGAATACTTTTACCTTTTAGAACGAATCAATGATTGAATCAACATTGACAAAATACTTACAATATATACCATCAAAGATTATACTAGATGAAATTACTAGTATATTCTAAACTACTATAGAATTCAACAGAACAAATACATCAATCATTTCTAGCAGTTTCTAGATAATTATAAACGTTATACATCATTGATCATAAATACAAATCCTTTAACAATTTACCACTATGAAATGAAAATCCAATATATTTATAATCCTAATCCCTATTCAAATAATAACAAAAGGAGATAATCGCGATCATTCGCGACAGATGCAGCAATGTGTAAAACAGTTTTCATGGATACAAATAAGATGATTTAACCTGATAGAAATTATGTTCGTGAAGTTGGCAGCCTAGCAGCCTGAAGTTGGCAGCCTAGCAGCCTAAAAACCTGGCAGCCTAGCAGCCTGACAGCCTAGCACCCTGACAGCCTAGCAGCCTGGCAGTCTAGCAGCCTAAAGAAAACTAAGAATAGTACAAACATGAAATCGTGGGAAATACATAAGGATCATTCCACGCGTTTTTCAATATCGTGATCTTTATTTTATTAAGATGCCTAAACATATACATACAAAATAGCATATCATAAATAACTCACATGACGTCACTTATTGTCCATAGACAGCGACATTATTAGTCGAGAAAATGTCGTAAGACTAAGACTACTTCCCACGTTATTCGAAAATATGTTAAATCCCGCAAATTTCGAAGCGTCAGAATGAAAAATAAAATAAAGTTCAATATTTAAAAAATAAGATCGTGATACTAAAATAAGACGTGGAATGGTCTAAGTATGTGCTTCCGATTCATATCCGACGGTTTTCATGTTTGTATTATCCTTAGTTTTCTTTAGGCTGCTAGGCTGCCAGGCTGCTAGGCTGCCAGGCTGCTAGGCTGTTAGGCTGCCAGGCTGCTAAGCTGCTACGTTCCCAAATTTCGAAGTGTATAAAAAAAACAAAAAAAAACAATAAAGTTCAATATTTCAAAAAAGAAAGATTGCGATACTAAAATAAGACGAGGAATGGTCTAAGTATGTGCTACCGATTCATATCCGACGGTTTTCATGTTTCTATTATACTTAGTTTCTTAAGGCTGTTAGGCTGCTAGGCTGTTAGATTGCCAGGCTGCCACGCTGCTAGGCTGCTAAGCTGCTAACTTCACAAATTTCGAAGTGTCAAAAAAAAAAACAATATTCATTATAAAAAAAAATAAAGTTTTCGATACTGAAATAAGACGTGGAATGGTCTAAGTATGTGCTTCCGATTCATATCCGACGTTTTTCATGTTTGTATTATCCTTAGTTTTCTTTAGGCTGCTAGACTGCCAGGCTGCCTGGCTGCCAGGCTGCTAGGTTGCTAACTTCACAAATGTTGATGTGTCAAAATAAAAAAAAACAAAGTTCATTATTTAAAAAAAAAGAACGCAATACTGAAATAAGACGTGCAATGGTCTAAGTATTTGCTTCCAATTCATATCCGACGGTTTTCATGTTTGTATTATCCTTAGTTGCCTTTCGGCTGCTAGGCTGCTAACTTAACAAATTTCGAAGTGTCAAAAATAAATAAATAAAAAGAGTTCAATATTTTAAAGAAATAAAGATTGCGATACTGAAATAAGACGTGGAATGGTCTAAGTATGTGCTTCCAATTCATATCCGACGATTTTCATGTTTGTATTATCCTTAGTTTTCTTT